CCTCCCCCATCAGCTTCCACTCCCTGCTGAGTTTAAGGAGCCATCCAAGCCTTGGCACTGAAGATTTATTGAGCCATGGCAGGTTTGAGTTCATGCCAAAGAAGCAAAACCCTCTCCCCRTGTGGGATCCCAGGGAAAGGTGAATCCTGCCTGTGGGAATTGAGTTTAAGACTGATTTAAGATTTTCTTTGAGGTTTCTGCCCTTCTCCTTTGGGGTGGATTCTGCTGACAGCCAAGGGGAGAAACCCCATGGCTGCCTTGGAGCAGAGGAAGAAAAATGGGCCACCAAAACCATGTCCCAGGCAGAGATTCAGCTGCAGTCATGGCCCTGCAGGGATTCCCAGGAGCAGCTTCCCCATCCCCTCTGAAAAAGGCAACACCAACAGGAAAAAGGAAAACAAATCACAAAATCCCACTTTCCCTGCCTCAAACTCTCCAGTTGCTGATTTTTCATCCTCTTTGTTGTCACAAATGTGCTGACCATTCCTCTTTCTGTCCCTAAAAATAAACTAAAAACTCTCGGAATTCAGGAACAAACAATATTTGCATTTTCCCAGCAATTTTTTGCAATAAATTCCCTCACAGATATTCACAAATTCAACTTGAAAGAAGATGAAGGAGATCAGAATTAAAGGAATTTGTCCCCTAATGGAGAAAAGGTTCCCTACTGGGAAGGATGATCTTTCCTAAAATAACACGAAGGATTTCAAAGAAAACCCCCTGATTTCAGAAAAGCCAAATTTATCTCCCCTTTCACTTTCTCAGATACCAAATTCCTGAATAAATAAGTGAAATCTTTATCCCAAGGAAAGGGGTGTGGACTGAAACAGATAGGGAAAGAGAGGAGAAAAGAGAGGGAAACGGAAAATGGGGAGACGTCACCGGAATTGTCCCGGGGTCCAAAGGGACACTTTTATCACAAGGGACAATGGGTCCCAGCCAGGACAGGACACGCTGTGCACTGAGCTGCTGGGATGGCCCTGCTGCCCATTTCTAGGAAATAAAATGGGGTTGGAAAGCCTGGAAAGGGAGTTTTTTTCTGATCTGTTGGTGCACCAGTGGGAGAGCAGTGGCACAAATCCTGATCCTGCTCTGGAAAAGCTCTGAGGGACCAGAGCAGAACCCTCTTGAGACCCACTGATCCCATTGACCCAGCTGATATTTGGGAACACAAACTGAGCAGTGAGAATTCCCATTTCCTTCAGCAGACACGTGCATTAACTCAAACAAAAGAAAAAAAAAAATACCCCAATTAAAAATAAAAACCTCAGATGATTTTGCACATTTGCAGATCAGAATGCCAAAGGAGGAGACGGAGAGTTTGTACAGTTCATGGAAAGCAATTCTGCTGAGTGATGCTCTCTGCACCTCTGACACTGAGATTTAAACGTAGCAACCCTTTTTTTTTTTTTTTTTTATTTTCCCCTAACCATACAACATGCATCTAAAAATAATAAATGTAACTGTCAGAGTAAAGTAAACCTCGCCCAGCATCTTGGCTGCTCCGTGTGTCTCTGCAGCTTTCCTCCTCAGCCACAGCTAAATTTACAAGAAACTAGCAATGTAAAATGTAAAAAAAAAAAAAAAAAAATGCAGAGTCTAAGCACAAAAAATTTGATGGGGTGTGAGGAGAGGAGGGGGGTCAACAGGAAACCCAAGTTGACGGGAAACCCAAGTGACATTTGGGTTTAATGAATGACTTAAAACCCCAATATTGCTCGTCAGGAAATGGGGAGAGGAAATGGAGTGATGTTTTGAGAGTATAAATGAGGGGCTCCATCAAGGTGAAAGCTGCAGATCTGCTCTGTACCCTCCCGTGGGACCCACCCGAGGGCTGAACAGAGAGAAGCAGCCCTTGGTGACAGCATGAGGACCCTGTGCAGTGGCCCAGCAGTGCCCATCCTGCTCCTCCTGCTCGTGGGCACGGTGCCCACCCGTGCCCAGACCTCCTGCCTCCACTTCCCCGACCTCCTGCCCACCAAGCTCCGAGAGATGAGGCTCAAATTTGAGGAAATCAAGGATTATTTTGTAAGTATCACCCCTGCTGCTTTCTTCTCGTTTTGCCTCTTTTTTTTTTTTTT